ATCAAGGGAACTGTACAGGAAGAACTTACACTCCTAAATATCTAAATATATATGCACCTAATGAGGGACCAGCAAAGTACTTAAAGCAACTACTCATAGACTTGAAGGAAGACATTGATAGCAACAAAATATTAGTGGGAGATTTCAACACCACTTTATAACCTCTTGATAGATCAACCAGACTCAAACTTAGCAAGGGTATACTTTATCTGAAAGAAGAAATGGAAGAAAGGGGCTTAGTAGATATATACAGGACACTCCATCCTCAAAAAGCTGAGTATACATTCTTCTCAAGTGTGCATGGGACATTCTCTAAGATAGACCACATGCTGAGCCATAAAACATACGTCCATAAAATTAAGAAGATAGAGATTGTATCAATGATCTTCGCAGATGATGCACTGAAAATAGAAATAATCACACACAAAAACAGAAAATCACATTAAACACCTGGAAATTAAACAGCTCACTATTGAACAACGAGTGGCTTAGAAAGGAAATCAAAGAGGAAATCAAAAGATTCATGGAAATGAACAAAAATGAGGACATGATTTACCAAAACTTATGGGACACAGCAAAAGCTGTGTTAAGAGGAAAATTTATAGCTCTACAAGCATTCCTCAGGAAGGAAGAGTGAGCCCACATAAATAACCTAACCTCACCGTTCAAGAGCTCAGAGAAGGATTAACAAAAGGAGCCCAACCCAGGCAGGAGGAAGGAAATAATAAAACTTAGAGCAGAAATAGATGAGACAGAAAAAAAAAAAACCAATTCGAAAGATCAAAGAAAGCAAGAACTGGTTCTTTGAGAAAATAAACAAGATCTATAAAACTCTAGCAAGACTTACCCAAAAAAAGGGAGAGAGAAAAACCTAATAAACCAATTCAGAAAAGAAAAGGGGGACATTACAACTGAAACTATAGAAATCCAAAGGATCCTCAGAGATTACTTTGAGAAGCTTTATGCCACAAAACATGAAAACCTCGAGGAAATGGATAAATTCCTAGGTTCCTATAGCCTTCCAAGGCTGAACCAAGAAGAACTGGAAAACCTGAACAGACCTACCACCATCAAGGAAATTGAAACGGTAATAAAAAGTCTCCCCAAGCACAGAAGTTCTGGCCATATGGATTCACTAGTGAATTCTTCCAAATTTTTAAAAAGGACTTACACCCAATTTATATGGAACAATAAACCCCATGAACAACTAAAACAATCCTTGGGATAAAGAAGATGGGTGGCATCCTCCTCCCCAACTCCAAATTGTACTTCAAAGCACTGGTAATTAAGACACCATGGTACTGGGCTAGAAACAGACCTGCAGATCAATGGAACAGAGTTGAATATTCTGTCACAGACCCCTAAATATATGACCACTTAATCTTTGCCTAAGGGGCAAGAAATGTGAAGTGCAACAAGGAAAGCCTATTTAAAAAGTGCTAGGAAAACTGGATAGCCATCTGCAAAAAAAAAAAAAAAAATGAACTCTGACCTCTGTCTAATGCCAGGCACAAAAGTCAGATCTAAGTGGATTAAAGACCTTAATATCAGACGTGAATCCAAAAGGTACATAGAGGAAAATGTAGGCAGAACTCTCCACGGAATTGAAGATAAAAGCATCTTTAAGGATGAAACAGCACTGATCATGCAAGTGGAAGCAAACATAAACAACTGGAACATCAAACTAAGAAGCTTCTGCACTTCAAAAGAAACAGTGACCAAAATACAGAAAGAGCCCACAGAATGGGAAAGAATATTTACCCAATACCCATCTGATAAGGAATTAACATTCAGGATATACAAGACACTAGTAGAATTGTACAAGAAAAAAACCTCCAACCCCATCAAAAAATGGGGAGAACAAATAAACAGAATTTTTCTCAACAAAGAAATACACATGGCCAAAAGGCACATGAAAAAATGCTCTGCATCACTAGCCATCAGGGAGATACAAATCGAAACAAAAATGAGATATGATTTCACACCACAGAGACTGGCACACATTCAAAAGAACAAAAGCAACCAGTGCTGGCGTGGATGTGGGGAAAAAGGGACACTCTTTCACTGTTGGTGGGAATTCCCACTAATCCAGCCTTTCTGGAAAACAATATGTACAGTCCTTCAAAAACTAGAAATTGAGCTTCCATATGACCCGGTAATACCACTTCTGAGAATATATCCTAAGGATGCAAAGAAGCACAGTAGAAATGACATCTGTATCGACATATTCTTTGCAGCACTGTTCACAATATAGCCAAAATCTGGAAACAACCCAAGTGCCCTAGAACGATGACGGGTTAAAGAAACTTTGGTACATCTATACAATGGAATACTATGCAGCTGTCAGGAGAGATGTAGTCATGAACTTTTCTTATAAATGGATAGACACGAAGAGTATCATGCTAAGTGAAATGAGTCAGAAAAAGGGGGACAGACAAAGGACTGCACTCATTTGTGGAGTATAGAACAACATAACATGAGACTGACACCCAAGTATAGTAGATACATGGGACAGGAAGATTTGTCCATAGCTGGAAGCCTGCCTCATGAGCAAAGGGGAGAAGGTAGCTAGAATAGAGAAGGGGTCACTAAGATAATGATGGCTTGAGGAACCAGATGGGATTGGAGATGTGTGCAGAAAGTAGATAAAGGACCAAACGTGATAACCTCTCAGTGTCTGTATCGCAAACCATAAAGCCCCAAAATAGAGAGAGATTATGGGCAATATTGTCTGCCATGGAGACACAGGGAGGGTGGGTAAGGGGGGTTATACTAGGAATATTGGTGTTGGGAATGTGCACTTGTTGATGGATAGGTGTTTGATCATTGTGTGATTGTAACCCAAACATGAAAGCTTATAACTTTCTCACGGTGATTCCATAAAATTAAATAAATAAATAAATAAAACAGAAAAAAATATACTGAGATCAAAACACACAAAAATCCCCAAATAGAATCATTCAACAATAAATTGAAACCATTCTATGATTTTGAAAAAAAAAAAGGCCATGAATGTCAAGGATGACTAATTCTAAGGAACTAGAATTAGAATTAGAACAGCTAAGTCAACATTTAAAAGTGAAAATTCTATGTTTGTTTTTTCAGCCATGCCCAGTGGTCTTGGGATCATTTCTGCTGTGCTAGGGGACTATGAGGCGCTGGGATTCAAACTTGTTGCTCCTATATGTGGAGTATATATTCTTCTGAGCTCTCTCTCCAGCCTCCCCAAAGCTAAGTTTTTAAAATATTTATTTGTCAAGGATTAGAGGTCCTGGGTTGATCCTGAGAACTACACAAGAAAAGTAATTTTATTTTTTAAATATAAATTGGAAAAATTTCACTGACATATAAAATAAATATATATATGTGTGTATATATATATATATACACATACAAAAATGCATGTGCTCACAAACAAAACAGATAATGGTCACTCCTTACTTCAGAACACAGAGAGAAATATGAGGACGTTGACAAGTTTCTCAAAGGCCTACCTCCATATAACCAAATCTGCCTTAGTTAGAGTGCATGAATCCTGAGGAAAAATTCCAGATCAGGTAGGACTCCTGGGCCTATCTCTGGAAGACTTGAAAACGGTTTCTCACAGTCTGATCAAGTGTGATCCAGGGCCTCGCCCCAGCTTTCAACGTTTATTCCAACATTGTGATTGCATGGCGCATCTCCTTGTGTGGCAAAGGTACTAAAGCACAGGGGACCAGAAGTACTGCCCCATATTCTTCTTTGTCAATCAGGTTTAAAATTTACAGGAAGGAAAGAAGGAAGGAAGGAAGGAAGGAAGGAAGGAAGGAAGGAAGGAAGGAAAGAAGGAAGGAGAGAAGAAATAAAGGGCTAGAGAGAGGAGTTCTTCAATATGAGGCTCTCAGACTTTTTTTTTATGTATGGTACTGCTATTCATTCAGCAACTGATTAGCTGATTGAATTGGGCATGAACTGCACCTTACTTTTTTCCCCCATTTTTTATAATTTTATTTATTGAATCACCATGAGAGCAGTTACAAAGCTTTTGCTTTAAGTCTCAGTCATACAATGAAACACCCATCCCTTCACCAGTATCCATTCTCCACCCCCCAAAAACCCAGTATGCCCCCATCCCACACCCTCCCCCTACCTGTGGGGTAGATGATTTCCACATTACTCTATCTCTACTTTGATCACATTCAATATTTTGACATCAAACCCACCATTACTATTTGGGATTTTACCCCAACACTCAGATCTGCTGAAAAGGCAACAGTAGACAATTTGTTTTCTATTGCTGGTTAAGAATAACATATGATGTCGTGTGGCTACAGTAGTGGCTGCACAATTTTGAAATTCTGAAACTTTAACACTTAAATCTGGAGGGATTTCTGCCCAAAAATGCTGGGTTCCGAGATTTGTTCCTGAGTCTCTGGGATCACGGCCGTTAAGCAGCTTGACCAGGAGTCATAGAGACCATTCGTGGGTGATGACTTGGGGTCTCGGGATGAGGAAGAAAGGGCCAGCTCCACCCCATCCCTTGAGGCCCCACCTGTTTCATCACTGAAGGTCCATACCTGACTGTCCAATGGCCTCTGGCAGATTTTGGCCACCGAGCCACCAAGGGGGAGCAGGCTGAGGAACAGCACCCTTTCGCCCGGGGTGGCCCGGCGACAGTAACCTACTGCAGGGTCCGGACACATTTCTGCCAAAAGCCAATAGGTTCCGAGATTTGTTTCTGAGTATCTGGGATCATGGCCGTTAAGCAGCTTGATCAGAAGCCATAGAGACTGTTCGTGGGCAATGACTTGGGGTCTTGTTGGGGTGGGGAGGACAAGACCGGCTCCACCCCTATCTCGTGAAGCTCTCAGACTTTTGTTCCAAGTTCTGTCAATACAGTCTGTTTGTGTTAAAACAGTCTCCAAGAGGTAGGTCCTCTGCCTCCCTGTGTCCCTCCTTGTCTCCACTGGAGTATGAGGACTGGCTGCTTCCCTCATCTTTCCAATCTTCCTTATTTTCTGCTAATCCACACAGACATTCGAATCATCATCATCACTGTTTTCTGATGATTCTTCTATCTCTGGAGCTTGCAGTCCCAACTCTTCTCCAACTCTGTCCCTTACAGATGGGGATTGAAGACTGATGCTGGTGTTTTGGTCTCCCTTCATGGTCATGGACTTAGGTTTAGCATAGGATATCTCTTTGTATGCGGCATATTCCTGAGGGGAAAGAGTCCTAAGCCAGCGATCCAGATCTATCCTATACTGTGCCTGAAGGTTCTTGGCTTCCTGCTCATAGAGCTCCTTCTGGCTCTGGGGAACTCTCTGCCACCGCCTGCAGATCTCCACACTGCGCTGTCTCAGGGGCACTTCTTGTAACTCCTCGCTTGACCACAAATCCTGATGGAATTTATAATATCCATACATGGGGAGTTTTGGGGGCTCTCCATGAAATATTACCTTATGGGGCAAACCACTTTTAGGAAAAGAATTCATATCTTGTACATTTTCTTCAACCTTCTTTTGGCCTTTGACTCGTCTCCTCCTCTCGCCGTTTGGGGCTAGATCAGGATACTCTTCTCTGAACTGAGTCAATTTCTGCTCAAACTCTTGTTTCTCCCTCCGGAAATCTTGAATGTATTTCTTTTTTTCCTGCTTTGGAAGTTCCTTGTATTTCTTAGACAGCACCTTGGTCAGTTCCTGATTGCTCAGAGTGGGGTGCATCTGTGAATACCAGAGTCTCTGCTCCTTGAAGAATCTGAGGTAAGCAGTCAAAGGCTTCTTGGGTAGGCCAGGATGTCTTTTGCAACTTTTCCTTTTGTAAGGTTCTCCAACACATTCCTTGGCATCCAAGACCAATTCTTTCAATGTATGAAATTTTCTCAAATTGTTAGAAATCTGTAACCATTTCAGTTTGCATGTCTCTCCAGAAAAGTCTTTAAAAGCAATTTTATCCCAGTCCAGTTTTGACTGGGTTGTTTTGAATGTGTTATCATCATCAGATAGGTTATCTTCCATGCGTTCCAAGAGCTGGATAGAGTCTTCTTCACACCAGTCAACTTGGCCTTGAGGTAGTGCCATTTTTTTTGGTTTTGGACCACTTATAAGATCCCAGTTAATCAGACTTCTATCTAGATTGATCAAGTTACTCTTGTTCTTAAGCCTCAGAAGTTTTTTTTATTTCTGAAAATACTTCATGTGAAATTTTGTTTCTGAAAAGAAAGAAAAAGACTTTTATACAATAAATAACAGTCACATTCAAAATGTCCCATCCACAATTTAATATACCTAATAGAAAATATTACTTACAAAGACTTCAAATTTCTCAAATTTTAGTCAAGAATAAGAATATATTGACATATTCAAATTCAAAATAATGAATAAAATAACATTCTACCAAGAATCCTCTACCCTGAAAGATTATCATTTAGATTTGAAGAAGTGATAAACATTTTCATAAAAGTTCAATTGCTTTACTAAAGACATTTGTTGAATCCAAGCAGTACTTCACAGAATACTGAATGGCCCACATTAAAAAACAGATACATGAAAAAAATTATAGAAAAATGGCAACAGAAAACTTTATCAGTAATTCACCTTATTTTAATGAACTGATTTTTCCTATCAAAAGCCACAGGGTGGAGGGTGGGATAAATCTGGAAAAAAATTCCAAACTTTTGCTACTGGAGACATACTTGAACTTTCATGATAAGCATTAAGGATGGAAAACAATAATACAGGTTAATGATAGGTTTTAAAAAGGGCAGGGAGAGTCAGACTTGGATCAGACCAAATAGTATTCAAACTAAACAAGAGATAGGGATGGTCATTAAATATTGGTCAAGGGATCAATAGATCAAGAGTTCAATTACTTTGAACTCATCAAAATAATATGTACTAAATGAAGGTAAAGTAAATTCTATAAAACAGCTGCTAGACTTAGGGAGATATATCAATATCAGCACAATAGTTATGGCAGATTTTATTATCACACTTTTCTAATTGAACAAATAAAACATGCAGAACATCATAGACAATGATCAAGTCAGATTCATTCAAGGGGCTATCATGCAAATTCTATAATTTAAATGTAAAATTGAAGCAAGTGAAAACAGAGATAGACAAATGGGATATCTTAAACTAAGAAGTTACTGCACCTCAAAAGAAACAGTAACCAAAATACAAAAGAAGTCTACAGAATGGGAAAGGATATTCTCCCAATACACATCCGACAAGGGGTTGATATCAAGGATATACAAAGTACTGGTTGAACTCCACAAGAAGAAAGCACATCTGACCCCATCAAAAAATGGGGCGATAAAATGAACAGAAACTTTCTCAAAGAAGAAATCTGAATGGCTAAAAGGCACATGAGAAAATGCTCTACATCATTAATCATCAGGGAGATGCAAATCAAAACAACAATAAGATATCATTTCATACCACAGAGACTGGCCCACATCCAAAAGAACAAAAGCAATTGGTGTTGGTGCAGATGTGGCGAGAAAGGGACCCTTATTCACTGCTGGTGGGAATGCCGACTGGTTCAGCCCTTTTGGAAAACAGTTTGGATGATTCTCAAAAAATTAGAAATTGAGCTCCCATTTGACCCAGCAATACCACTCCTGGGAATATATCCCAGAGAGGCAAAAAAGTATAGTCAAAGTGACATCTGCACTTCTATGTTCATTACTGCACTGTTTACAATAGCCAGAATCTCGAAAAAAACCTGAGTGCCCAAGAACAGATGACTGGTTAAAGAAACTTTGGTACATCTACACAATGGAGTACTAGTAGCTGTTAGAAAAGATGAAGTCATGAAATTTACATACAAGTGGTACTACATGGAAAGTATTATGCTAAGTGAAATGAGTCAGAAAGAGAGGGAGAGACATAGAAAGATTGCATTCATCTGGGGAATATAAAGTAACGAAATAGGAGACTAACACCCAAGAATAGTCAAGATAAGTATCAGGAGGTTTACTCAATGGCTTGGAGGCCAGCTGTACTTGCTAGGGGAAAAGGTAGCTCAGATAGAGAAGGGAGCACCAAATAAAGGGTGTTGGGAGGATCCTCCCAGGATGGGAGATGCATGTTGAAAGTAGACTATAGACCGAACATGATTGCCACTCATTGCCTCTTTTGCAAACCACAGCACCCAAAAGGAAAGAGAGAACAAAAGGGAACGCCCTGCCACAGAGGCAGGGTGTGACAGGGGGGATGGGTGTGGGAGAGATACTAGGATCTTTGGTGGGGAGAATGGGCACTGGTGGAAGGATGGGTACTTGATCATTGTATAACTGCCACCCAAGCACAAAAATTTATAAGTCTACAACTGTACCTCATGGTGTTTCACTAATAAATTTAAAAAAAAAAATAACTAATTGATTAAAAAATTAATGTAAAATCGACATCCAAGACAGTGGATGGTACTTGGGTGATTGTTCCTGGTTTTGCTCAGGGTAGCATTTGGTTCCTGGGATTAAATTCAGCCCCCCCCCCCCCGCATGCAAAACATGATATCCCATTCTGTGATACCTCTAGAGCGTTTGCCTTGCACACAGCCAACATGGCTGACCCAAGTTCGATTCCTCCGCCCCTCTCGGAGAGCCTGGCAAGCTACCGAGAGTATCTCGCCCACACGGCAGAGCCTGGCAAGCTCCCCGTGACGTATTCGATATGCCAGACACAGTAACAACAAAGTCTCCAATGGAGACGTTACTGGGCCCGCTCGAGCAAATCGATGATCAACGGGAGGGCCTCGAGCAATATATATGCAATCATTCTGGGATATCAGAAAACCACCTAACACAGATAGTTGGAGCTATATTAAGGGAAGGCTGCTAAACAACAGTATCATCAATATGAAGATATCTGTCTAGGAGTTTGGCTACTGAACATCTAGAAAGTATGGAAAGCTAACCTGAAGTAAGCAGTCTGAAGAGAAAATAGAGGGTTTATTGAAAAGTTTGTATGTCTGGGGAAGAGTTTTAAAGTCAGAATAAATGTGTGAAAGCATTAGAGAAAGCTAAGAAAAGAAACATAACTACATAATAAGGAAACGTTAAGAGAAATAAACATAATTGGCATGCATCATGAACCAGTTACAATTTCCCTTTTTATTAAGGTATAAAAAGACATCTAAATATAAATATGATGCAAAGACAAAAGAAATAGAAGTATATACATATATATGTATAAGATAGGATCAATAAATTAAAGTGCTGTTGGACACGGATCAGGCTAAGAACAACTCCATTCTCCTTGCCCCTGATCTACGTCTTATTTACTTAAAACCCCACTCTTCCCCCTTCCTGACCCTCTGAAAGGGAAGGACATCTGGGCTGAATACTCGGCCTTGACAAATAGATTCATAACCCAAACATCAGAAGCCATGCTGGCAGGAGGCGGTAGTCACCGGAATGTCGGAACATCCTGGAACATGTTCAGATGACCCATCCGTAACTGTTTGTACTGTCTGAAATTGTGTTTCCTTTTGAATTATGAAACTTGCGTTTTTCACGTATGTTTTTGTTTGAATTTATAAGCGCAGGCAATGACATAAGCACTAACTATAAAACCTGAAGCATCTCCCTTGCTCGGAGTCTTGCTCTGGCCTGCAAGCCTGAGAGCTTGGCCCCAGCTAACTTGCTTGAATAAACTCCACTTGTGTTTTGCATTACCGGCTGGACTCTTTGTGTGGTTCGAAAGAGAGAGTCTCGGCCTCGGACCCCAAAATTGCTAAATATTTTATCATCAGAAACCTACAGATATGAATGAAATGTATCAGCAGAAAATATTTATGATAAATGTGGAGGAAATTTAGGAAATGGCTGGAAGAAATACTGCTCTTTATTTGTTCTCTGCACTCAGATATGAGCCATATCCAGATTCATACAGATTTTCTCACTTTCCATTGATAGAAAAACCTGGGCGAAAATGATCTCACGCGCGCGCGCGCACACACACACACACACACACACAGTGTTCTACAATATTTAGTAAGAAATTCTATTCTCATCTCTCCCTGAGACATAATTAATTAGCATCACATTAATCTTAGTTTAAATACAGTCTTTAGTTCTAAGAATTAAAAATGTTAATACTATTAATTCATCTTGTACTGATTTATGGGGCTGGAGCGATAGCACAGCAGGTAGGGCATTTGCCTTGCACGCAGCTGACCCGGGTTCAATTTCTCTGCCCATCTCGGAGAGCCCAGCAAGCTGCTGAGAGTATCTTGCCCACATAGCAGAGCCTGGCAAGCTCCCCGTAACATATTCGATATGCCAAGAACAGTAACAACAAGTCTAACAACTTCTTGTAAGACATTACTGGTGCCCACTCAGGCAAATCAATGAACAATGGGAGGACAGTGCTACAGTGCTACTGATTTATAGTGATCTTAATATTGAAATATCTACTAAGATCAGTGTATTGTAATAACCATATAAGACTGATAACCATATAAGACTAACATATTATTATTTTTTTTATTTTGCTTTTTTGGGGTCACACCCAGCGATGCACAGGGGTTACTCCTTGCTCTTCACTCAGGAATTACTCCTGACAGTGCTTGGGGGACCATATGAGATGCTGGGAATCAAACCTGGGTCGGCCGTGTACAAGGCAAATGCCTACCTGCTGTACTATCACTCCAGCCCTTATTTTTTAAAATTTCACATTTGAGAATATATAAATCCCAATGACAACCAATCAGAGATACAGAGAGAGAGAGAGAGAGAGAGAGAGAGAGAGAATTATAGGCCAATAACCCTGATGAACACAGATGCAAAGACCTTCCAACTACTAGCATATAAATAGAATCCAATGACTCATCAAAAAGATCACACACCATGATCAAGTAGGATTCATCACAGGGATGCAAGGATGATTTAACATTCACAAGTCAATCAACATAATACACCATATCTGTCCTGTAGCACTGTACTCCCATTGTTCATCGATTTGCTCGAGCGGGCCCAGTAACGTCTCCATTGCTCCATTGTGAGACTTGTTACTGTGTTTGTCATATCGAATACATCACGGGGAGCTTGCCAGAATTTGCCGTGCAGGCGAGA